AACCCCCCCAAATTTTTTTCCCCTGGAATTTGGTGGACCGCTTGCAGGGCCGGATGCAGTTCAGCATCATACCTAAGACACTGAATTAAACCAACAACTAAAAATATCTCCTTAGTCTCTCCTTACTGGTAACTCAGTGGGTCACCCAAACCCCATGGAAGCCTGATGTATAAAAATGCCCTCCTATCATGCCCCGATCGTCCGCTTCTCTTGTGTGCCACGCCCCCTCATTAACCCCATGTGGATTCCCCGTGTTTACCAGCTGTTCCCTATCGTTGTCAATTAGTCCATTGTATTTTGTATCCACGTTTCCGTTTGTTTCCCCAGTCCGGTCATTGTAATGTCGATCTGTGTGTTGCCTACTCCTTCGTGTTTATTGCTCATTAAAGCCCGTATTCCCCTTATCCTGCGTCTCCTCGCCTCTGCTTCCCTGGTCATTGTGTGACACCTCCCCTCCAAAACCTGGCCGTGTCTGAAGCAAATGTGCAAAATTCCAGCTATGCACCCAGTGTAAAACACCATCAAGATTCATGAAACATGGTTACTTTACTTAGCGCTGTAAGAATTATTGGTAAAGCTATGCTTTTTTTCTGTCCACAGAGAGATCTGCTGTTATTCAGAGACAGTATCTGGCGCTATCTATCTGAAAACTATTAAGATATTCTGAAATTTAATAACAAAAAGAAAGATGGGAACTCTTGGGCCCCAGAAGACTTGACCTTTCATTCTGCTTTAACACTCAAAGGCCTTATTCAATCAATTTTTAATTATGGCCTGACAGCAGTTTAACTATATTTTATTGCAGTTTTTTTTTCCTTAAACAGCTCCTTCAGTTTCTCCTCCCATCATTAAACTATACATACACCCGATGCAATCAAATGACTAGTGAGATACAGTGAAACTATTCATCTTGGACTGAGCATTACGAAATGTGCTCCCATGAATCCAGAAAATTCTGTCCCTTTTCCAAGACGCCACAACCCCATTTCTGAATCCTCTTGCACAATTCTGGAATGTCCTCACGCAACACCCGAGCGCTCCCCCCGTCCGTTCACGGAATCGCATGTGGTTCCGGAACGCAGCCGTCCCAGTTCTCGAAGTTTCTCCTGCATGCCCCTCCTGGGGATGTGGCCCGCCTCAGGTAGAGCACATGGAGTGCAGCTTGCTCCGCCATGACGTGGCCCGGGGTTGAGGTCACTCCGCCATGAGCCAGCACATGCCGTTTCCCATGCGCTAACGACGTACAAATGACACGCACAGCGTTCCCAGGGCGCAGCTTGTGCAGGTTCATAGCGTGTGAAGGCGTACACTTTTCCTGGAAAAGCAGCACACTCTCCCACGCTCCACCCTCGCCAGAGGACACGTGCTTCCATTTCTTCAGGCACAACCCCATATGCTCCTGTCAATGGCCATCCATAACCCTCACAGTGGCTAATGGCTCAATGCTAATAGTTGCGCCCTAACTGTTAAGACGCTCATAGCAGGTTTTAAGGTGATTTAACATCACCCTCTTACACTCAAGAACCATTGTAGGATGCTTTATGATGGGGGGCATAAAAGGGGGCATAATTCACACAGGGGGGCAACCTTATCATTGGCTAATGATATGCTTTGATTTGGTGAGTGACAGCAGAGGGGGGGCCCAGGGCGCAATCAGCCTTCAGCAGGGGTGAACGTTAGTCGGACCTCCAGGGCCACTGGCCTTGCTGGTGGTGAATCTGGTGCTAAACAGCTGACAGTTTTGGGTTTTTACCCCATTTCATTAGCACCCTGAGCCTGGACCCTGTCTCTGGGATGTTGGTTCTTATTCCCCCAAAACAGCACAGCTGCCACAGTATGAGCTCACTTTCTGTCAGGTGGAAAAAAATATCCAGGAGCAGTGAGGAAGGCACGGTGGAGCAGGTTGGCGGTGACAAGGCTGATGTAAGAGCAAGTCAGAGTTACTCCTTTGCTCCTCTCTGCTCCCTGGGCCCACAGCAGCCTGTCAGGCATGGATGGGCTTCGGACACATTCAGCAGAAATCGCAGCGTGTGGCCATCTAACGACCTGTGCTCCTGCGAAACAGCAGGCTGCCGACACACTCCCAGGATTCCCTGTGTCAACATCACGCTGGAGCTACGTGGTAAATAAGGGAGAGGACTGTCAGAGAGAGCAAGCCCAGGGGCAGGCAAGAGAGGGTGTGTGTGTGTGTCTGTGAGAGAGAGAGAGGGTGTATGAGTGTCTATGTGTGTCAGAGGGTATGTGTGTGTGTGTGTGTGTGTCAGAGGGTGTGTGGGTATCTGTGTGTGTGTCAGAGGGGGTGTGTGTATGTCTGTGTGTGTGTTAGAGGGTGTGTGTGTGTGTGTCTGTGTGTGTCAGAGGGGGTGTGTGTGTGTCTGTGTTTGTCAGTCCATCAGGGCTGCTGCACATGCCACAGAGTCTCGTCTGATGCTGGAAAGGGGCGTGGACCTATTTCCTTGTGTGTGTTGGACTGAAGCGGTGCCCAGGGTGGGGAGGAAGGACAATAGCATTCAGTGTGCCCCCGCCACCCCGCCTCACCCTACCCTCCGCACTCCAGAATGGGCTCCAGATGTCCATGCGGTCGACAGACGCGCTGTCACATGGCGACAGAAATGCAAGCTATTTGGAGACGCTCACTGTTTTATTATAAACCCAGAACCTGGTTGTCGGGCTCTGAGGACTTGCATGGACAGCATAGGGTTGTGAGACCATCATGGGCCGGGGATGAGAGTGCCGTCAGGACTCAGCCGTGACGAGGCGGCCCGGACGTGATCCACGTGGACCCACACACATGCACGGGAATCTGAGTCAGCTCCCCAGCATCAGGAGAGCAGAACCGCATCCTGGCAAGAAAGGATCCCTCCGACCTTCTGCGGACTGCCATCTAATAGAAGCCAGAACCACAGCATTATGGATATGGCTGATGACTAAGAGACCGGCTATCCAGATCCCGCGGGGACCGTCTGTTGTACCCTAGGAGGTGTATCGCTTCTGTATTAAACAGAGCTGCATAAAATGACAATCAGGAGCAGCTGTTTGCAAGATGGGGGGATTCACACTCTCACTGTCCCTCAATAACCTATAGCAGGAGGAAGGGCGACACAGTCCCCCACAAGCCTGAACCTCACTGGAATGCCTTTCTGGGGCGTCTGCCTGCAGGGGGCGCCGGCGTGTACGTCAGCTGCTCCCCCATGAAGACCCACACAGATCTTGAAAGTTTCACTCCATCTACAGTTACGTCGGCTGATATTTACCCAAAGATGCTCAAAAGCAGATATGCTCTCTAATCCGTCGACCAGACTGCACACATAATGTAATGACAGGGCTGGGCGCAGAGCCAAGGGATGGGGCCTGGGGGAGGCAGAGCTTGCATATCGGGGGGGGGGGG